TTTTAAAGGATTAGATTAAACTTTTTTTTTAATATTCCAATAGGTTCATGCTTCACGACTAATCCAATGCAAAGTGAGTCTCTTAAGACTTTGAACCTCTTCAAAAATAGTATTGGAGAGGATTGAACATATGCTCTTATCCCACTTACTCAGTTTCCTGGCATGAACTGAGCTACCATCATTTGGTTTAGATCAAACTTTATAAACCAAGAAGATGTGAAACACTGCTATAATTGTCATACCTCATGTATGTGTGCTTCAGTCACTTAGAAAGGAAACAGAATATATAATAGATATCTACAAACCAACTTGGGAAGATTCACTTATCTCTAGGGACATTCAGATTTCAGACTAGGAATAATCTAATATCTGTTTTAACATGGTTCCCCCTCTCAACTCTTTCTCTCTACAAACGTCACATTCTTTGGAAGCCTGCACCATAGTCATAAGAGTAATTTTAACGTACTCATGAACATGTTATTTCCATGGGAAGCATGTCACGCATCTATATATACAATCAGGAATGGATATTTTCTATCACGTGTTAACATGATCATATGAAACAATTTTAATCATTAATGGACAAATTAACAATTATTTTTTTGTCACTTTTTATCCTAGCATTTTTTTTATCACTGTTACTTTGTCCATAAATAATGAATATTATCTTACATGACCTAATCATATTAAATCACACATGAGAAATACATTCCCTATAAAATTGAGTAAGCTTAATTTGAGTAGGAATCATTAGTGTCGTTAAATTCAACGGGCTCTTTAAAAAAAAAATAAAAAAAAAATTATTTTTACATTTTTTAACGTGGATAATACTAGGGGTTGCGTTTGATCCATTATTTCATATAATATTAATTATACATTTATATATTGATTTTTATCAACAGTTTACTTAGTCAACCTTCCGCTCAAATAAAGTCAAGACTAGTTCGATTCTTGACGTTGTATGAAAGCGATTATTTTTTTCAATCTAAGCAGTTTAATTAATATATATATATATATATATATATATATATATATATATATATATATATGGTTTTCCTATTACACCTAAAATGGGGAAAATAAATCCTCTCTTGTTATCTAGGTAGCACACCTTTATAGTACTAAAAATTAGGGCTGTGCATGGGTCAGGTCGGGTCAGGTTTTTGTCCGACTCGACCCAATTTGGTTTTTATAGGTCAGGTATTTTGACCCGTCCCGCTTTAATTTGATCCATGTCAGGTCTGACTTGGATTGGATTTTGTTGAACTAGTTCAGAACCAGTTTGGATCTGACCTGACTTGGTTTCTGAAGTGGGTCTGACTTGGTTTCTGAACTGGGTCAAATCTGACCTGACCCGTTTTTGACTTGGTTTTCTCACAAAATTTTGTCGAAATTTTTACGTTGCAAAAGACGAAAAATTTCGTCACAAAATTATTTTTTCGTTAAAATTTGTACAAAAATTTTTTTTTCTATTGAAATTTAGTTTCCGTCAACAGTTTTGACGAAAATGATTTCTTCCATCAAATGTTTTAAACGAAAAAAGAATTTTGTCAACAAATTTAACTGAATGTTTTTCGTTCAAAATTTCGATGGGAATGTGTTTTAACGAAAATTTTGACGAAAATTATTTCGAGGGAAATGTTTCATTTGAAACTTTCGACGAAATTTAGATTCTCTAAAGAATTTTGACAGAATATTTTTTTCGTCAAAATGTTTTTTTTGTCAAAAAAATTTACGGAATTTTTTTATAGAAATGTGTTTCGTTGAAAATTTTGTATCAAAAAACTTGACGAAAATATTTAGTTGAAAATTTTCGATGGAAATGTGTTTCGCTAAAAATTTCGACGAAATTTTTTTTTTGTCAATAAATTTAACGAAAATTTTTTCGTCGAAAACTTTCGCCGAAATTTGAAATCTGTAAAGAATTTTGATGAATATTTTTGCCGTCAAAATTTTTTGATGACGAAAATGTTTCCGTCGAAAACTTTCGCCAAAATTAGAAATCGGTAAAGAATTTTGATGAAATTTTTTGCCGTCAAATTTTTTTGATGATGAAAATATTTCTGTCGAAAACTTTCGCCGAAATTTGAAATCTGTAAAGAATTTTGATGAAATTTTTTGCCGTCGATATTTTTTGCCGTTAAAATTTTTTGATGACAAAAATGTTTCCGTCGAAAACTTTCGCCAAAATTTGAAATCTGTAAAGAATTTTGATGAAATTTTTTGCCGTCAAAATTTTTTGATGACGAAAATATTTCCGTCGAAAACTATCGCCGAAATTTGAAATCGGTAAAGAATTTTGATGAGATTTTTTGCCGTCAAAATTTTTTGATGACGAAAATGTTTCCGTCGAAAACTTTCGCCAAAATTTGAAATCTATAAAGAATTTTGATGAAATTTTTTGCCGTCAAAATTTTTTGATGACGGAAATATTTCCGTTGAAAACTTTCGCAGA